GAGCTTTAGAAGGAATGTAATGCTATTGTGTGTGTGTGTGTGTGTGTGTGTGTGTGTGTGTGTGTGTGTGTGTGTGTGTGTGTGTGTGTGTGTGTGTGTGTGTGTGTGTGTGTGTGTGTGTGTGTGTGTGTGTGTGTGTGTGTGTGTGTGTGTGTGTGTGTGTGTGTGTGTGTGTGTGTGTGTGTGTGTGTGTGTGTGTGTGTGTGTGTGTGTGTCCTAGCATTACTATACTTGTGGGGACCTAAATCTATGGGCTCAGAACAGTCTCATAATACACACGTGCACACAGAAGGATTCACACTTGTATTTCCGGATCCACACTTGTGTTTTTCAATGCACACACAAATGTGTTCCGTTTCATATACATGTAAATAAAATCCAAATACAGAAAAAAGTTTTACATATGTATTTTTGATCCACACATATTTGTTTTCCATTTAAAACCTCTGCACCTGCAAACACAAACCGCTTTCTGTGCACGGATCGCTGTGCATTCGTGTGTGGGTTTTTGAGACTCCCCTGACGCTCAGCCGATTCGTACTTGTAATTTTTTCTACCTATAGCCAATCAGATGTCTCCTCAACTCTAAGCCAATCACATGAGCACGCCCCCACGAGGGTAGATGTATTGCGTTCATGACGTAGCGCTTCATGTACGCATTTTGCGCAGTCCGGAGCTGACAGGTCCATGGAGCCTGCCTGTGGGCGCTGATCTCAGGACACCTCCACTCTCAGTACATTGCCACTTTCCGAACAGGAAATGCACGCAAATACAATCTTTTATATTATTAAGGTACAGCGCCACTTTCCGAACCATTGATGAATGCTTGTGTACACAAAAACGGCAGGCAAAACCGTTTTAAATGTGTGTTTCCTGTATGGCGAATACAGCTGCTTTATTTATGTCTGTATGAAGTTGTTGTGAGTGTGGAGGGAGCAGCTACATGCTAGCTTAGCCTAATCGATCAGTGCACTACGAAGCCAGTGCTAGACAGTGAACTGTCAACGGGGGGAGCCCCGTCGTTGCTCTCTATAAAGGCCGATCAGGAGAGCTGGATCTGATCGATATGGACATAAACGCGAGTGAAGTATAACCGGACGCGAGAGAGATCAGATCAGCTGCTGAGTCTGACGGAGACACGCAGCTCTGCATTGATTGATTGATTGATTGATTGAAAAGTTTATTAACAGCTTGTATATTGGGTACAGTACAGTACAGCTCAAAACATACAATTGTTAAGGGGATGCAGACCAGAGAAAGACTTTCGTCTTGTTTACATCAGGGTCCCCCATTTCCAATTCATCATGTCATTTAAGACATATTTGACATACAGATGGCTTATTTACAATTTACATACAGGTGGTTTTTTTACATACAGATTGCTTGTTTACAATTTTCATTTTAGATTTCGTTCTAATACATCCTAACCGGACATTTAAGACATACCAAGTCTACAGACATACAGTTAGTAACAGAGTCTAAAATGCGAGTATATACATAGATGGGGGGGGGGGGGGGGGGGAAGCTGTCCATTGAACGACAGGTTGAGATTTGTACCATTACCGGGGCCAGTTTTGCAATGCTCTCCCCCGAAGGTGCTCTTTAAGAGAGGTTTTGAAGGTAAGTATAGTTTTACTTTCCTTTATAGTTGTGGGAAGAGCGTTCCACCTTGATGTGGCATAATTGCGAAACGTGTATTCCCCCTTTTTTGTGCCAAATCTGGGTTTCACATGATTTGTGGAGCTCCCTCTGGTGTTATGATCATGGTATTCCTTGACCTTTGGGAAGAATTTTGACATGTACATGGGTACCATAGAGGTGTAGTGGATCTTGTAGACCAGGCCCATTGCAAGTAGCTGTACTCTGTCGTCTACTCTAAGCAGGGCCGCCCCTGGCCAACTTGGGGCCCCAAGCGACATTGTGAGATGAGGCCCCCCCCCCAACCGACAGTTGTTTTTGGAAACAAAGTAGGCTACTTTGCAAATATAATTCCTGTTTATTATTATTATTATCAACACAGTTACTTTGTATACAGTGAGGTAAATGGTAAATGTGCATGTATGTCGTTCAGTATGCGTTTACAGGTGAATACGTCTGCATTTCCTGCCAATTACTAGCCTCAAAAAGATTAAAATATAATTAATGCAAATAAACTACTTCTACTAATAATGATAATCATAATCAATTAAATAATATAAATATATTATTTTTATTATAATATAGTTGTAATATAGTCAAGACAAAACATGCTTATGACGTGCTCAAAAACTGATATTTCTTAAATCTGTATTCTAGTTCCCTCTGTCAGCAATGTATCAACAACTACACACACATTTCTATCAGTATTTCTCTGTGTTGTGGTTGACATGATGATGACTGTTAGGAGTAAAAGTTTACTTTTTATTCATGTACTTTTTATTCATGTATTTTTTCTTTTAATGTTTCTTTTATTATCTTTTACTGTTTTTAAATGCCTTTGTCTGAATGTCTTTCATTTTTGTAAAGCACCTTGAATTGCCTTGTGTTGAAAGGTGCTATATAAATAAACTTGCTGAGGCTGAGCATCACCATGAAATGTGCAAATAGACATAAAAATGAATAAAAGGGGAAAAAATGGGGGGTGCGGAGAACTGAGTGGAGAACTGCGCACAGCAGCTGAGGCCCTCTGGGCGGGGCCCCCTGCGCAAGGCGGGGCCCCATGCAGCCTGCGTGATTGGCCTGTAGGGAGGGGCGGCCCTGACTCTAAGCATGATCACCTGAAGCTCCGCCCTCTGTTTAGCGAGCTGACCGGACAGCGCAAAATGCGTATATGAAGTGTCATGAACGCAAGAAATCATACCCTCGTGGGGGCACGCTCATGTGATTGGCTTAGAATGAAGGAGACATCTGATTGGCTATAGATAGAAAAAATTACAAGTATGAATCGGCTGACCGTCAGGGGAGTCTCAAAAAACCCACACACGAATGCACAGCGATCTGTGCACAGAAAGCGGTTTGTGTTTGCAGGTGCAGAGGTTTTAAATGGAAAACAAATATGTGAGGATCAAAAATACATATGTAAAACTTTTTTCTGTATTTGGATTTATTTACATGTATATGAAACGGAACACATTTGTGTGTGCATTGAAAAACACAAGTGTGGATCCAGAAATACAAGTTTGAATCCTTTTGCGGATCATGAAATACAAGTGTGAATCCTTCTGTGTGCGTGTGTGTATTATGAGACTGTTCTGAGCCCATATAAATCTGTCTACACAGTCACGTGTGGGGACTCGCCTCCCTTATGGGGACAAAATGGAGGTCCCCATGAGGGGAATCATTAATTTTAGGGTGAAGACTTGGTTAGGGTTAGGCATGTGTTGGTTAAGGTTAGGATAAGTCTCCAGGAAATGCATGTAAGTCAATGTATAGTCCCCTGAAGTGATGTGTGTGTGTGTGTGTGTGTGTGTGTGTGTGTGTGTGTGTGTGTGTGTGTGTGTGTGTGTGTGTGTGTGTGTGTGTGTGTGTGTGTGTGTGTGTGTGTGTGTGTGTGTGTGTGTGTGTGTGTGTGTGTGTGTGTGTGTGTGTGTGTGTGTGTGTGTGTGTGTGTGTGTGTGTGTGTGTGTGTGTGTGTGTGTGTGTGTGTGTGTGTGTGTGTGATCTGCTATACACACAGTGAGAGCTGAAACAGGAGAGGCTGAACTGAATCCAGATCCGATTGGTATTCAGAGAGCGACTCTGTGTGTGGGGAGACATTCCTGCCTGAGGAGGATGTGTCGGAGGAAGAGGGAGGAAGAGGGGGAATCCATTCATCAGCAAACATTTAAAAGCTGGCCTATCTCCCTTCCTTTTGCCTGTGAGGTAGAAGTTGAGGCATTGTTAGAAAAAACACCTCAATCGTCATCATGACCACCATGTCCGGTTATAGTACCGACCTCATGTTGTCTGTGTTGAACCTCAAGGCTTTTGGTGAAGTGAACTCGTGATTTCATCAGTGCTTTAGCAAAGAGATTGTTATGGATGATTAGTTTGTTATAAATCGTTTGTATGTTTCTCGTGTGTTATGGATGGTTTGCTATGTATAACTCATTTATTTTTGAATAGTTTATTAAGCAAAAATATATTTGTTATAAATTGTTTTTTTTTGTTTTTTTTGTTATAAATAGTTTGACATGGATGATTAATTTGTTATAAATAGTTTGTATGTTTCTACCATTCAAACGTTGTTATGGATATTATTTTATGTATAAAAACAAGAAAAAAAGTATATATACAAATATGATGTTCTGCATCAAATAGTTTAAAATGTATTTTCTAATGTTGACTATTATATTCTGAATCAACATTGAGTGCTGTGGAGCTTCTCCAGTGTTCAATTCCTGTGTTGGCTGTGTTGGCTAACTCCAGAGCGTATTAAAGTCTTAAGTAAAAATGTTTGGGAAAAAAAAAAGATTTAAAATGTTCCTACAATTTTGCATTTATCTACTAAATATTGTGCTTTTATTTCAAAAACGTAATTTGCAGTCGGACACCTGTTTAAAAGAAAGGGTCCAGCAGCTTTCTAATGGAACCATCAATGATATTTATAAAATCTCAATAACAAAAAATCTGCATTTTCTCTTTTTTCTCATTTGTAACTTTCTCTGAAAACCTTTAATAAAACATTTGAATGAAAACCCCCGAAATAATTATTTACTTTGAGCAAATGTAAATTAGTTTCCTCTTAATACTCAGAATGAACACCACTGAGAGATAACTGTGCTATGTGCACTACACATTTTACTCTCAATTAATGTTGTCACTTGCAGCTACCTCATTACTTTTATATTTTCACTTTTATAATTCTGTTAATTATTTCTTTATACCATGGATGTGTACTTATTTATTTATTTGTTATGTGCTTGCCTCTTCATTTATATGTGTTACTCTTCTCCTCTACCATTTCTAACTGGACAAATACAGTATTTCTCTGTGTTATTTTGGATGATGCTGATGTCTCTGTGCTTTTCTGCCTTACCCAGGTCGGACCTTTGATCTCTCAAAACCAATCCGAGAGCAGCGAGGACCAGAGGACGGAGGGTTCAGACTTTGTGGAGATGAAGCTGAGGGAAGACACAACAGAATGGACTGACATGTCCAGATGACAGGGTCCAAATATGCTGACGTAGCAGCAGTTCTGACAGCTCACAACCAAACCCACCTTCCTCCCACCACCACCCACTCATCCTCCGTCCAGCCATGTTGTTGAGGAAGAAGCTGTGCGTTGCCTTGATGATCACTGCCCTCCTCTTCCTCATGCTCGCCAGTCAGGGCATTCCAAAGAGACACTTCCCATCTCTGCCACTAACCTGGACCACGGCCACCGGCAGGGAGACAGGTGAGGAGTTTGTCAAAAAGTAAATCCACAATATTTCGGTACAATTGGTTTTCAAATTGGTCTAAATGAGGCCTTCTTGTTTCCCAGAACACTGCCACAATGTATTGTAGTGTGCTTCTGCAGGGCTGTATCCCTCCCCTTAAATTGCAGATTTACGCCAAAAAAAACGTAACGTGGAAGTTGTTGAATGCAATGTCTGTAACATTGTAAGCATTTTCCAGCCTAAACTATGCTGCTTTGTTTTGGTGTCATTCACACGCTAACTTCTGTCTCCACCAGATGCTGTTTTTGTTGTGTTTAAGTGGCGTGCGGCTAAGTCTATTTTTATCACATGACCAAATTACTACTATAAGTGGAGAGATTTTTGTCGCATTGAATTCATTATTATATTTCTTATATAATTGCTAATGTGTATTTATCTATCACAGGATTAAACACTTTCTGAGGAAAAACTGACCTTATGTTGTAAATGTTTTGAACTTCAACCAAAGTTGGACAAAAATTAAAACAGTTTTCATACCATTGTAAACTGTACAAAAATATCATTTGTTGTACAAATAATATAATCAAAAGCTATAGTAGTAGCAGCAGCTTTAGTTGTGTTATCCAAATATTTACTCAAGTAAAATTCTAAAAGTATTGCTGACAAATTATACTCAAAGTACAAAAAGTAAAAGTACCTATTGTGTAGAATAGCACATTTCAGAATAATATTTAATATTAACATTATAATATTATTAGCAGCCTCTTAGTAGTAGCAGAAGTACAGCAGCAGATGGTAATGATGTTAGCAGATCTCCCATGATGCACTGTTCTCTGACTCTCTGTCTGTTTGTGTTTGCAGTAGTTGATCACACGGTGCCTCCTGCTGATCCGACCCCTGACCCTCCAAGGACCCCCCCAGCTCCCATCATCATCCAACCTAAAGCCAAGGAGAGGCCTTTAAAAATGTCCCAAAGTAACACAAGGTAAGACGTACAAGGTCACAGACTCAGTTTCCCATGATTCCCTATTTTGTCCCTGTCTGACTCCTCTGTGTCCTCCTCTGTCAGGTTGTGTGGTTGTACTGAGTCCTGTATTTCAGAGCTGGGGAGGTCGGACTGGTTCAGCCGACGCTACGACCCCAAACAGCAGGCCGTCCTCCGGGACACCGACAACAACCTGGACCCCCAGGCGCTCGCATGGTGGCTGGTGAGGGACAAAAGCAGTCAAATGCAATTGCTAATAATGAAAACATCTGAGAAAATGTGTACTTTACATTCTTTAAATGTTTTTAAAACTATATTTTACATTTCATTACGCTGCTGGTTTTATTTTTTTTAAAAAGTACAATAAGTGCAATAAACCATGAGATTTAGAACAGGAAGAATCGTGCAAGCACATTAGCTACGAATAAGCCAAACAATTATGTTACACACAGAAATTAAGGATTTGAATGAAAGGTGCAGTCAAAGCTTGAATGTTGGGTTCCTATCACCAATCACTTGAAGCATGGCATGATCACAGCTCATCGTGTCTATTTGAAGAAATGTATCTGCAGCATTCAACTCTATTTTTGTTCTAATTCTAAAACTCAATCTAAAATTTGTAGGCACATTTCTAGTTTCTGTGCGCGTTTGTGCGTCTGAAACAATTTGGTCACAAGTTCACAACTGATAGAAAAGTCAAGCAGAAGTGATAGTAGACCAGACAGGCGCCATACCTATCTGCAACAGCAAGTTTCCCACGGTTTGTGCTTGTGTGTTCAGCTGTGTTGCTCAAAGCTAATTAAAGAGCAGCCTATTACTATGATTACTATTTTGATTGGAAATCAGCCGATAATTAGTGGCTGAGCGCTTTGGGAACCTTTTATGACATTTAATCTAAAGTGCATAGTTTTATACCACAAGCACCGATTAAATGAAAGATAACTAAAATATTTATCTTGATGTTTTACACTAACAATGAAGCTAATCCGATAAATATAACTGCACGTTAGAGCAATAACACACAGAATGATTGCAGGCTGTACACTGGAAGCATTGAATTGATACACCAACACTGCTATGGGTTATATCAGCTGATCACAGATCAAAGATGTGTGATTAGAATGCCAAAGACCAATGTATAATGTCCTGCATGATGGTTTTACAGAGCTTATCAGTACATAGTCATTATTTTCAAAATATAAAACATAAAACAAGTCTTAAATTGGCTTTTCTAAAAGACAGCCACAGTCTGAAGAGACAGATGAGTCTGTGTCCTGCATTTATAGATCACGTCCTGCTGCAGAAACCATTAGTAGATTAAAGGGGGGAGGGTTCAGACTGCTAACATAATCTGTGTGTGTGTGTGTGTGTGTGTGTGTGTGTGTGTGTGTGTGTGTGTGTGTGTGTGTGTGTGTGTGTGTGTGTGTGTGTGTGTGTGTGTGTGTGTGTGTGTGTGTGTGTGTGTGTGTGTGTGTGTGTGTGTGTGTGTGTGTGTGTGTGTGTGTGTGTGTGTGTGTGTGTGTGTGTGTGTGTGTGTGTGTGTGTGTGTGTGTGTGTGTGTGTGTGTGTGTGTGTGTGTGTGTGTGTGTGTGTGTGTGTGTGTGTGCCTAAATCAAATAACTATTCATATCTAACACTGTAACTTTTGGTATTTTATTTCTTTAATCTATTTTTGGTTAATTGTATTTATATTTTCTTGGCTTTTAAATGACTGTATTTCTTCTGAATTTTGTCTAGACGCTTTTAACTTCTAATGTAAAGCACTTCAATCTATATTCATCAACTTGCTTGCCTCACCTTAACATCATAAAACAAAAACATGAATGAAGAAAAAACGTTTTTAGAGATGTTGAGTGTATTTTGAGAAAAGCTATATATTAATAACATATTGCAACATGCTGTATTTCTCCACAGAGTCTCCAGAGGGCCGGCAATGATCAGACGTTAGAGAAGGTGATGTCCGACATGTTTAAGGTCATCTCCCCGCCCACTGTGGACTTCAGGCCCCTCTCCTCCAGTTGCCGTCGTTGTGCGGTAGTCGGAAACTCCGGCAACCTGCGGGACTCAGGAAACGGAGACCTGATCAATTCCCACAACTCTGTAATCCGGTACGTCCTAACTTATCCTCTTGATCCTCTGCTCCTCATCCTCTGCCTCCTCCTCCTCTCCACTGTCCTCCACATCTTCTTCTTCTTTCTCAACGTCCTTCATCAGTCTCATCCTCCTCCTTCGTCAGTCTCATCCAGCCTATTTATTTTCCTCCTCACTTGTCTCCTCAACAGGATGAACAAGGCGGTGACTCGAGGGTTTGAGAAAGACGTTGGGAATCGGACCACGCATCACTTCCTGTACCCGGAGAGCGCGGTGGACGTGGCGCACGGCGTCAGCCTCGTCCTGCTGCCGTTCAAACTGCGAGACATGGAGTGGCTGACCAGCGCACTGTCCACCGGAGAAGTCAAAACGTACCAAATCTGAATACAAATACACTCAAAATGTTCACATGTTTTCCTATCTAGTTACTAGTCATAGCAAGATGTGAACTTTCAGACTTGCATGCAAATATCTAGGGCTGTACCCGAATATTCGTTCGTTGGAGTACTATTCGGGTTTCAATTTCGTGATTCGGATATTCATCTTTTTTTTCTTTTTCGTTTTTATTTTTTTATTTATTGAAATCTCCAATATCAACGTAAGAGCTTGCGCCTCTTCGGAGGGTGCTAACACTTAACCCTAAACGCTATCGTTTACTTTCTGTCTTTATATGTAGATATTACTTTTTCTCCATTCATCTCTGTCACGTTGTTTCCATAGCAACAACAACTTCTTGTCAACTGCGCTAACTCTCCTTCAAAATAAAAGCATGTCCATACAAAATAGAAAGCCAAGCCAAATTACACTTAAGACATATACAACTGCAACGAAAGTAACAAACACAATGCAATATCCTTTTCAATTTCAAAGAACATAAATTGGGTTACATTAACAAATAACTATAAAACAACAATACTGTAGAATAACAAAAAGAATGCCGTGAATAAACCGAAATACACGTGTTGAAGCGGTTCGCTGCTGATTACTACGCACCCCCCCCTCCCCCCTGCTGATTACTACCGAATATCCGGAACCCGAAAAATGGTATTCGGGACACCCCTACAAATATCTAATCTTGATCTTAATTAAAAAAACGTTCAAATATACAAACATTGTAGAAACAATGTTTAATAATGGTTAAAAAATATACAATTAGTAAGTAAACTTCAATAATATATTATTATAATAACAGAAGAGAAATTACCATACAGTTTGACTTTTTAGTTCTTAGTTTTGTGTTTATACATTTGAGAATACATAAGCATCAAAATGAGGGCTAACTTTTATTGTTTAGCATTGTTGTACATACAATATTCATATCTTTTATATGGTGCTGTATTTTCTAAAATACAGTCCTGACATAAACTCTGACCGGTATTTATTTGTGTGTCTGTGTGTCCAGGACCTACATGAGGGTTAAAGAACGAGTGGAGGCTGATAAAGACAAGGTAAAATAAATGTTCCATCATGCTCTCTGATTACACTCTGTTGTTGTTTGTACTACTTCCGCCCTTAAGAAGAATTTTTGACTGCTTTTAAGTGTCACGCTTTTATTACATTTTTCACTTCTGGTTTCAATAACTGAAAAATATGTTCATACATGTGGGCGTTTCCAAAATGTCACCCAGAACACCCTATCATCTGTATAATCACACAGATGATACTGCAAGTTTAAGAAAATATGTGATAAACACCAGAAAGCCTGTGAACACTCTCATATGTATCATAATGGTAACACTGTGTGCAGGTTCTGGTGGTGAACCCGGTGTTCTTCAAGTACGCTCACGAGCGTTGGACCGAGGGTCACGGGCGCTACCCGTCCACCGGCATGCTGGCCCTCATCTTCGCTCTGCACACCTGCGACCAGGTAGGAGGGGCGAGGGCTTCAGGGGGCTATGATCCACACAACTATGTTATAGCATTTAAAAGATACAGAACCTCTATATGCCCTGCCCTAAGATGACCACTTTCCTCAAGTTCATGGCAAACTATAATATAACCTTGAAATTACATACTATATTATGCCTTTTTTGATATGCTATTCTATTACTTTTTATGACATTTTACACTATATCACTTTTTTCCAATATTTTCCAAGACTTTTTTAATTACTTTTTATGACATACTATACTATCACTTTTTAATTGCATACTATACTATTACTTAGTGTGACGTACTATTCTGTGACTTTTTATGACATACTATACTATGATATTTCAAATGGTATTTTGACTATACTTTTATGACTTAGTATAGTATATGACTTTTTTATGACTTGATTATTTTCTATTACGTTTTTATTACTTTTAATGACATATACTATAATTATGTTTACTATGCCTTTTTGCAATTAATTTATCGTCATACTTTACTTTTTTTATGATTTCTTATTAGCATAGTATGCTTTATATGACATTTTATAATATAACTTTTTTTATGTCACCTTTGACTTTTGACAAACTACACTATGACATTTTGATAACAATGTAATGCCATACCATTCATAACTTTTTATTGCATACTATACCATGACATTTACAATAAAGTTTACAATATGTCATATATATCACGATGTCATGACATCACTTCCTGTCTTCGTTCAGGTGTCCGTGTTCGGTTACGGCGCCGACAAGCAGGGGAACTGGCACCATTACTGGGAAGAGAACCGCAACGCTGGAGCCTTCAGGAAGACCGGCGTACACAGCGCCGACTTCGAGACAGAGATCATCCAACAGCTGGCCAAAGAGGGCAAGATCAGTCTGCACCTGTGACCCCTGACCCCCTGACCCACTGACCCCCAGACCACAGCCTGATGGACTGACATGAATAAAGACTGAAAGACGTGCTGACTGATGGACTGACCAACATAAAACTGGAGTTCATTGTCTTGATTGTTTGGTTCACAAAATGCCAATATCTATAGTGCAATTCTGTCCATGGTGATCTCTTGGATAACTAAAGAGAGGATTAATTGATTATCTAAAAGGTAGCTATTATTTTTAATTGACCTATTGTTGCAGCTCTAGTGCTGACTGACCCACAGACAGACCTGCTGACTGAAGGATCCTCTGCTCACTCAGCAGATCATTCTTCACTCAATTGACAGAGAACCAGCTACATCTCGTCTGGTATCCAGTCTAGTTGAAAGTGTCTTTGCATTCCCAGCTGTGCTAAAATCGGAGTCAACTCTGGACCTTATGTGCCTGCCAGATGTGTCTGTTGGGATTCGGACAGGAGACCTGTACTTCTTGCACATCAATCACCACGTCTGCCTTGAGTCAGAAATCCATTAATGCCGGATTGAAGCCGCTGTTGGGTGTTGACATTGTTGAATACCTGGATTACCTGTGGATGGAGCCTTTCAGGATGGAGGAGCTAAACCTGCCACTTCCACTTGAAGGATGCAGCTTAGATCTCCTCCCTCTGCCTACTCGCTGGTTTAATTGAAATCCAGCTTAACATGAACATAAATACAGATTTGTGGGACCTTCCACTGCTTAAACAGACCTTATGTTGCTGTCTGGGACTGCGAGGATGGACCACACAAGTTGTGCTCTAAGCGGGGAAACAACCACAGACTTTTTATATATTTGATTTTATAGATATTATACAGGGATAACCTCTTTTTTTATTTTGTATTAAAGCACTTTGCCCTTAAGAAGAAAAGGCACAAAAGGGCCATGTTGTTGCTTTCTCTGTCCAACAAAGACTTCTTTTCTATTTGATCTCATTTATAATCCACCCATTTATTCTGAATGAAACAAACCGTCCTGATACGGAGGATGTCTCTCTCCGGACAGACTTTAACTGGAAATGGGACAAAGTATTTACGTGTTTTTTAACATCTACATTTTTGGAATGTAAGCTAATGATGCTTCCTGTCTCGACCATATATGGAACTGGAGACAATGAGTGGGAGGAGCCTGTGTGAGGTTCTCAGCCTGTGTTTAAACTCCTTCATGATGATTCAACAGTCTGCAGTTTTCAGTGGTTTCACTCACAAAACAGAAGTTTCATGTTTTAAGGGACTACTTTTTCAGATCCACTAGCTGAAAAAGTTAAACTCTGCAGCTTTACATAACTTCCTTTGTTGTTGAAGACTGTTTCACTTTGTGATGTAACTCTTCTGAGTCAAAGACGAGGAGACAGTGCAAGACTAAATTAAAGATTTATTAAACTAAACGTAACAAAGTCAAACAATCAGTAACACCACCAGTGTGGGCGGTGCATGGACGAGAGGGAGATGTAGTGCAATGTAAGTCCAACCAAAAAACCACCAACCTGAAGACGGACCGGTCCAGCAGGAAGCAGCTGGACTTCCTGTTTACAGGGAGACGACAACGCGCTGTCACACCTATGCTGTGAAAACTGTTGCTGTTTTTCAATCAGTCGTCTGAATGTTTGTGGCTTCGTTTACACTATGAGAAGTTTCAGGACATTTAAGTAATTTGCATCCAGCAGCCATCCATATTAAGAAAGTATAATTTGGACAGAATATATATCAAACTGTTATTAATTTATTCGTCAATTTGTCAGTCTTCCACGTTATCATTTAGATTTTATGTGTTGTTTTTAATGGTCACTTTTAAATTGGTGTTTTCACTTTGTTTTTTCAAAAAAGTAATTAACGGATATTTTGTCATATATTTGTTTTATTTTTATTGACACAAATGTTGACTTTTTAAAGAGAGATATCACAAACTGTAACTCTGAATTTAGCTAATGTTAGCCTTTTTGTGTTGCTTTTGGGAAGGAACAGAAACACATTTATCGTGTATATGCATCTCAATGAACATTTGATTTGGGGTTAAATTGAGCATTTGCATTTAAAATATTTGTCTTTCTTTTTAAAAAGGCAGCTAAATGATGAGCAACTAGCGTTGACCAGCCATACACCCTAAAGTCAGTGCTCTGCCTTTAGTTCTGTTCTGTTAGCAGTAGGCTACGTCATCAAACTTCAGTTTTTTAATCTCTTGTTTTATGCTTAAAATGGCACAAATGTGGACAATATGTTTCCTGGCTGAGACTCTCAGGTTGACCATGTATTGGATTGGGAAAAATGTAAATATTATAGTTTTTCTGGCGCTCCATTTCCAGATTCAGACCAACTTGCCAGTGTGAAATGGTTTCAAAGCTCAGTCTGCGTCAAACTAACTTGTTGATGCAACGTCTAAAGGCCAGCAGGATGTGTGGTGTGAAAATCCTGCCGTCATATATTCCTCCTGGCAGCATCTCACTGCGTCCTTGAATGCCGTCCAAAATATCTGAGTCTGTGTAAGATGCAGCTGTCGGAGAGTGAGTTTTTAGACGATCCAACAAGCACTTTAAAGCAGACTGAGGACTCTATATGATCATGGATGCTGAATTATTGGCTCTGCTGGCTGCTCTGCTGCTAACTTTGGCTGCAGTTAAATGCTCTATTAAAACCCATCTGCTGAGTCATCTCAAGCTGGGGTTTAATCTGAAACATCTGCTGCTTGTTTTATAGTTTTTGCAGAGATGTAACACTTTGATGGCTCCCCGATTTTATGAGGGACGTTCAGCAGCTAAATGACAGAGCAGCAGCCCTCCAGAGTCCTGAGCTGGACTTCACATCCGGAGGGAAGGTTTTGGAGTTTGCTGACTTTATTTGTAGTAAAAATATATACTTCCTCACACTAAAGAAAGACAAGTTTTCTGTGAGTATAAATCCAAAGTTGTGCTTATTAGTGGTCTTCCTGCAGTCTGGGAATTTAGATTTTCGGAATTGGAAGGTGCCGATTAAATCAAACAAACCAATCATGATGTATGTTCACTTATCATAGCTTTAATCAGCGCTTCATGTTTAAACTGACTGTTTGATAAAAGGACATTTCAGTTTCATTTAACAAACAACCTACTGATCATTGATTCATTCGTATTTGCAGACAGAAGCACTGTGATTTTTCAAAACAACACCGCTGTCACTTTGAATAAAATGAAACAAAAGTGTGTTTTGCTCTTCCAAAGGCTCTGGAGGTACATGTTGGCACAATCTAACTCTGATGATGATCTCTATAAAAGTCCCCTTGGCAGTTTATTTCTGCCGCCATGATCAAAATAAACATTTGCTCAGTTTCCAGTACAAGATGTTGACTTTGTAATTGTTATCACTAGATACCAAATAATAAATGTGGTTTTCACCATATATCAATCAATTCAATATTTTTTCCTGATGAAACGTCTTGTAACTTTACTACAAACATGTTTTGCTTTAACACAATACTTTTTCTAGTTTTATATGTTTTGACACTTGTGTTTTTTTTATCTGCATCGTTTCTGAAACTAGCGCGTTTCTCATGATGGAAGAGTTTTAGGCTGTTGTAGCGCGTTTGCACCAGTCAACCACCTTATTAATGTGTATACTGTACTATTTACAAAAAAATGTGTCCATTAGCCTGAAAAATCTTATTTCAATGTGAAAAGATCGCATTTTATGAGAAACTGAGCAGATATTTTTTGAAATGATAGCAGTACCTGCTGTGCTTACTCGTGTTTGGAATCTTCAGACATCGAGAATCAGCTCAGTCTCATTTCACTATCCCACAATCCTTTGTGCTCTGGTCACTTGTCAAGTGGAGGCTAGACCAATTTTAGACCCCTGCTCCCAGAACCGCCCTGGCCCTTGTCAGACCTGATAAGCCCTGCCCCTCGAAGGTGACAAAGCCTGAGACAGGACAGAAGAGCTGCACAGGATGAAAAACCATGGAGTGGTGCAGTGATACACTTTGTAAGCCCACCCAGAAGTTAGCATCGCAAGAGCTCCCGCGGCGAAAAGCCAATTGGATTTATCCAACCAACCTCTTTAAGACACATTTAAGTTTCAGACATTCAACAGTGGGGTGACGCATTTTATGTTGGAGAAATAAATGTGGAAACCTAATTAGCCTGTGCTAACCACTTGCCTTACTTCAGGCAGCTAACAAAAAACACGTTAAAAACCCATTGAATTTGTGACGAGGGAACCTGAACTGTTAAAATGCTAACTCATTTCTGATGTTTAGGACTTATTCCTGCACCACTCCATGAATATATTAAAATAAGTAAATAACAGAAAAAAGTCGTTCAGTTGCACTTCAAAATAAAAGTCCAGTGGATTGTTTTATTTTGAAGTGTAGTAGCCTACCTATGTGCTTAATAAAAATATTTTTTTATAATAAAAATAAATAAATAATAGCACGGTCAACACTAGACTTAAATCGTCGCTGACCTGTTTGTGCGACATTATTACATGACCCGAGCTACATACAGATTCTTCACGGAAAAGGTCAACTGTATTGTCTCCATGGCAACAAAAGCCGCTGGTTGCTGTGACAACATGAACTGTGCCTGGACCATTGGTCATCACAGGAAGCAGTCCGGTCCTGGGAGAAGCAGAGGGACACAATCCTGGGGTTCTGCTGCCTTGGTTCCCCTGGGTTCCAGGTTCTAGTTCTCCAGGCAGACTGGATCTGTACGGGTCCAGGTTCTGTTGGTTTGGTCCAGGTCAGTCTGAGAGCAGCTGGACGAAGGAGGACGGGAACAAACCCCTCTGGTCCGGTTCTTCCTCTATGTAACCATGCTGCATACACATTCACACATGTGATTACAATTTGAACATGGACTCCATACAACAATGTTCATTTTGAGACCAAATTTAGATTTGGTTTTACTCCTTAGATTAAAAAATATATTAGTTTTAGGCATTTTTGATTGGATTAGATTGGAATATAATCATATCAAAACAAACTAAGTAAGAAAAAAAAGCAATAACAGGATAAATTAACACTTTTAAAGGTTTGGTCATTAAGTATTTTTCTTTAAAGAAATCTGAGCTGTTGCCATCTTTGTTGTGTACTTTATCATAGTGACATGTTGGGTGCTTCTCAATGTCAAGGAAGGCTGCTGCAGAGCCACTATATCAAGCATACTACGTCATCGAGTGCCGCCGAAGGACTGTTCCAATGTCCAGCATACTTGGAATTTTACCGAGTCCGGCGTACTTCGTAGCGAGACATTTCGAGGCTGCACATATGTAGACTCCGCGGTCTTAAAATCCCCACAATGCTTTGCGCACGGACCAATTTCCAAATCTTTGGCGGAAATCGCGCTCCATTTAAGGCCGGGCCTCGCATATGACGCACACCTGCACACCTGTTAGCCTGTTCCACAATTATTCGTTTTCCGAGGCTAGGAAGGATTCTTGCCTCGCTTCTGAAGGAAGTGACTCGGAAGACATGTGCTACCAAGCAAGCGTCCTCGATATTGAGAAACATTGAGAAACACCCGTTATGTACAGCAGGAGGCCAGTGGAAAAAGCACCTTCACAGTTGTAGAAGTAGGCCAATGGCCTACTTCAGAGTCGGGTTTCTGATACTTACCCACCAATCACTGTCCTCCTTGCCCAGGACCACCAGCACCTGACCCTCAAAGAAGCTCAGCTCATCGTGGTGGTCGGCCTGGCAGTCGTACAGCGCCTCCACCCGGCGGCTCGTCGCACCCCGAGGCTGGTGGAGGTAAGCAAAAAACACGATAATAATAAATATGTCCCGATAATAATAAATATGAATTAAAATAAATGTTCATCATGATTGCTTAGGCATCAGTAGGAGGTGGAACCTTTGTCTTTCATTTGGGGCTGATCAGCTGTTGACGGCGGTTTCTAAGGCACTGCTGGAGTGTTGCTATGTGGTTTCAATGGTGAATCTAACTGAGTCACATAATAGTAAAACCTATTTAACATTTTTGTTTAGTTTTTAACCCTTTTTATATTGTAGTACTACTACAACATAAATAAAAAGATTGGGCATCTTCTGCCACTACTGAGAACAGGAAATACAGACATAAACCTGTGTATAATCTTATAGTATTAAACTGATCAAAAAGTGACTAGATACATATTAAATGTATAGAGTGCCTTCAATACAGAGTATTGGGACATCCAAGCAGCGAATAATTGCTATGCAAAAGACACTATGTTCAACATTCAAAACATCAAGTTTCATTTTTCTTCCCCATTTGTTCCCCATATGTAGCCCCCCAGGGGAACTCTTGATTATAAGTGCTTTGAAGGGAGTTTACGGTTATGAAGATTTAAGTTAATTAATAATAAGTTAAGTTTTGTTTTTGAAGATCTCACCAATGATCTGCGAGGAAGTGGCTGGGGGGCAGGGCGGTTGTCGTTCTCAAAGCTCTGAGAGCGGTGATTGGTGGGAGAGCCGTTGGGCGGGGCTTTCCTGGCAGGGTGCAGGAAGTGGGAGGAGCTACCGTCACTGTCCGCCCTCCGAAAACCTCCGAAAGAGAGAGAAAATGTCATTGTTAATATATCAATGAGGAACCGGAAGACGTTTAGTTCTAACAGCAACTCTTTTTTTTTAACTTGTTAAATTTGTTCATATAAAAATTATAAAGCAATATACATAGCATTGAAATAAAAATAAAAACAGAGGAGAGAAGAGTAAGAAAAATGTTGAAACAATGCAAAATATATGTTAACTGGAAATATAACTTGCTCATTGAATTAAAGTAGGACAGTTAACATTTTGTTTCCTTATCGCTATGCAAGAAATGCATTTTAAATCATATAAATGTTTTCAGGACGACGTATTAAAATCTAGGTAATATAACTATAATGTCAAACCAGGAAAATCCACATTGGAAACAATTGAATTAAATGATAAACAATTTGTGGATACAAAAAATTGCTGTAGCTTTAAAATAAAGTATTACAAAATAAAGCAAACAAAATACCATAATAACTACTTAAAGTAATGAATGTAAAGATTATGTTTTACAGTCTAACCAGCAGTAGAGAAATTCCAGGAGCCAATAAAAATGAAATCTCCTTTGCCGACACACACATAGCTACGTTCATCACAGTGACATATGATAGATCCACCAGACTGCAGACTAATACAACAGACGTGGATGTTTCCGAACAGGAAGTACCTCTCTCCGGACGTTCTGTCAGCGAGCTGAGAGGAGAAGATGGGCTGGAGAGAGAGAGAGAGAGAGAGAGAGAGAGAGAGAGAGAGAGAGAGAGAGAGAGAGAGAGAGAGAGAGAGAGAGAGAGAGAGAGATAGAGAGAGAGAGAGAGAGAGGGAGAGAGAGATGAGAGAGAGAGGAGAGAGAGAGAGAGAGAGAGAGAGAGAGACAGACAGACAGACAGACAGACAGACAGACAGACAGACAGACAGACAGACAGACAGACAGGACAGACAGACAGACAGACAGACAGACAGACAGACAGACAGACAGACAGACAGACAGAAATAAAGAAACATTATTTCAATCTGAACACGTCAACAACAAGTGTAATTCTCATTCAGTCCAGCAGGGGGCGGCACAGTCTCAGTTAAAAAAAACCTTATGAGGGAAAAACCTCTCACTTTAAAATATTGTATCCACTACGGCTGGTGTTATTTTACATTTAGTAGCTAATTTACATGCTTTGTTTTTTTTACAAGAAGTATTTGTTTAATATTTGAATCATCAAAATTATAATTGAACTCTGATAGTAAAAAAAGCATGCTTTTATTATTACAGACTTTTTTACAAGATGTATGAAGCAATGTATATAAAGCATTAAAATGAAGGAGGACAAAGGAAAGAAGAATGAGAAAAATGTTGCTGTAAAATAAAAAATGCTAAATAAATAGAACAATTAAAAACGTGAACGTTTGAATTAAAGTAATCATTTTCAATATAAATCTGCAAGAAACAACATTTTTGAAAAATTGTTTAGTCTATGATATGCCTGGATTTTAACACATAATAGTAAAAATAGTAATAATACAAATAATTGTACATGTAACCATGATATTTGAGATTTTGATGGTAATGTGAAAACTCATGGTGTTACATTCCTGTCATCGGCATGTCAAGTTCTAATGTTTTCATTTCAGTTGGATTAAAACTGGATCGTATTTAACACTACTCTGTTAGAATAAAACAAACTTAGACAGTTTAGCTCCTGTTCCAACAGGACATCATTTATTTTACATATTCAATCAGATGCCTCACTCCCCCTCCTGTGTTTGTTGTAATGAAATGTACATGTATGTTTAAATTCAGTGTCATTATGTCTCAGATACTCACACACACTTCTTAAAGGAGGAGTCTGGACCGCTGTAGATCTTCGGGCTAGTTGACAACCCGTAATCTACACACACACACACACACACACACACACACACACACACACACACACACACACACACACACACACACACACACACGCACACACACACACACAGTTAATTACACAGTATTACAGTAATTGGCAGACTAATTGCAGCCTGTCTCTCGGATGTTACCGTGCTTGCTGGATTCGGAGCAGCTCCTCTTGTGTCGGACGGCGATGGGAGGGGGGGGCGTTGACTTTCTATTTCCTGTCAGCGAGAAGAAGACCTCCCCCTCTTCCTCCTCTTCATCCCCAGCTCCTTCTCCCCCAGCGGGAGGGGGAGGGGGAGGAACATTTGGGGCTAGAGGACGGCACAATTAATAAATGTTGAGTACATTTGATTAGGTTTTAGTATGAATCCTTCCCGTCTTCTGATCTGATGTTTTAATTTGTGTTGATGCACATTTAATACGTTGTTCATGTTTACCTATTTTTGTATATTGTTTGTATATTATTATACTGAATTTACCATAGTACAAGTAAATCCAACCTCCTCAAATAGTTTTAAATCAGGCCTTTATTTGCGAATAAATCTTATGGTCAATAGACAGCTTTAGCTACTTACTTTTTACAATTATAAGAGAATACTACAAAATAATATATTATTAAATAAACACCAACATATATTTACAGGTTACGATATTTGGCAAGTGTATACAGCGTTATTAAAATTAGCTCCACTTTTATTAGCTGGGACACAATATTGTATCAATAATCATAATTCGGTAATTTTATATATATAATTCTGAAATAGGTAGTTACACTTACAATGTTCGTTTACTTTGGTTATTAAGTATATTTTGAATCCATAAATGTTGTTCTAATACGATATATAAATGTAGGACTTTAACTAGTGCCAGAGTATTTGTACAATTTGGTTTTGCCACTAGTCACAAACAATAAAATGTGAAAGAGAGGTAGAAATGTGCATTGTTTGTCCATTCAAGTTGCAGATGAAGGCAGATAAGCTCCTGGAAAGATAACAACATATTAATAAAACTCAAAACATTCAGAGTCTGAGCTCACCTTTGACCCGGGGGGGCAGTGGAGGTGCAGGGGAGGACGGAGGAGGCGGAGGGGGGCTGGAGGCACAGCCAGAGGGCCGGCTGTGGAGCTCCATCGCCATGGCGAGCCTCCTCCCCACGCTCAGCAGACCTCCTCCGGACCCTCCAGACCCCCCAGACCCTCCGGACCCTCCCGCTCCTCCCCCTCCTCCCGATCCTCCCGATCCTCCCGATCCTCCTGATCCTCCCGCTTCTCCAGAGGAAGGCGGCGGGATGGAGGCAGGCTGACTGAAGCTGAAGGCCCGGGAGGTGAAGGAGAAGGAGGAGGTGAAGGAGGAGGATGAGAAGGAGCGCTCCTTCTTCACAGGACCGTTCTGAAACAGAAGAGGAGGAGCGAAAAAAGTCACATCGCTAAAAGAGCAACAAATTGATTAACCTCAATGTCAAGTCTGTACATAGTTTGGCAAATATGCTAAACATTAAAGACATATAGAATACAGAAATATGAAAATACAAAAACTCTCCTCTGTCACGATGAAGGTGATTGATCAAGTTTGTGGTGTTTAGACATTTATGTTAAGTTAATTCATTTAGTTCAATCCTTTGTGTTTGCCTTGTCTTGTGACTTCCTGTTTTATTTTGTAGTAACCTTTCCCTCTCGTTTCAGAGCCCTTCCTGCCCTTGTGTGTTTTCCCTTCGTGTGATTGTCAGCCTTATAAGCCCCGAGCCTGTTTTTCAGGTCTCAGGCTTGAAAATGACATTCCCAGAATAAATGACTATATCTTCACTTCTAAAAGGGGTTAAATTAATAATCTTTTTTCTCAGAGCAAGGATAAACCTGTGAGTTGGATGTAGAAAAGTCAGAATCAATATAGATGTTTTTATTTTAAAGTAAAAAAAACAAAAACATTACTTATAGTGAAAACCACCCATGAATGATGGGTTAGTAGACTAAAAGCTTTAGGGATCCAAACTACAACATATAATAAGTACCCTGTATCAAGATTGATGCAAAACAAGTGACATTTGACCTTTTTAGAGAGGTTTAGCCAAAGAAAACCCCTATCTCTGGAACCCATTGGTCGATGTTGGTGATTGACACCACTTTTGAACCGAAATCGAGGGGAGGTTCCTAAATCCACCTACACATTACCATTGAGGAGTGAGATTGATGCAGTTTGTCCAAACCGAAAGCTATGTTACGCTCTGAAAACTGAAAACTGAAAACTAGGCTTATTGCCATAAATGTTATGATGGATTATCAGTAATCATTTCAAAGGGACACAGAGACATTGGATTAATCTTCAGTAGCGTTTATATGCGTTTTAATGCCCTTGAACACAACTTTTGATCAGAAAACAGCAAAGGTAAGACATATTTGCCGTTTCGGCCCCGTAAAGTGAAGTTGTGTGTTGTCTTTGCTGGCTTTCGCTGCCGCGACTTTTGGTCGCACAGTGATGATACTTATAACATTGGAATCTGTGGAATCTCAGCTTTCATATGCTATCAAGTTTGTGCAGATCCGATGAAGAATAACATATTTCTACCGTGAGTTATGTGCAGTACGTTAGCACTCTTTCGCTTAGTGCTAATTCAGAGGCTCGGCGTTAGACTTTTGTTTTGTTTCGGTACAAATGTTTCATATCGTCAGGTAGCTGAGTTTCTTCTCGTTAAGTCGCTATGACACATTCATAGTAAATGTTAAGAAGCCCTCAGACGCTGTTTCTTGCAAGATGTTGCTTGTTGCCCCGGGGGCGGGGGCTCCCGGGCTTAACAGGTTAATTGTTGCCACCTGTGTCTCCTTACCTTGTGTGTATATATAGTCTGTGTCTCCCCTTGTCCTGTGCCAGTTCGTCTTGTCTCACCAAGTCTGCCAGTCATTCCTTGACCTTGTTAAGTATATTTTTGATAGACTCTTTGTGTTACGTTTTTGATAATCCAAGCAGATGTTTTGTTTAGCGTTTTTGATCTTATAGTTTCTCAGTTTTGATCCTCCTAGTGAGCGTTTTGTGTTTTTGCCTTTTTATTAAATACTTTGTTAATCCTGACCTGTTTCTGGTGTCGTGCGTTTGGGTCCTCCTGAGCCTTGTGACATTCATAACAGTATTTTCTGTTTTTCTTTAATTGTAAGATCTCAGACTTTTCATTAAAATAACAAGCTTGGAGCTTTCAGACACTAAATCTTAAAACCATAAAGCATCAAGAAATGGCATATAATAGTATAAATAATAATAAATAATATAATTTTAAGAATGATTAACCAATCTACTCTCAAGAAAATGCAGGGTGAGCTCTAGCAATAGACTATAATTATACAAAAAGAAAGAAAGAAGCAGTACAATGTGCTTGTTGCCATAGTTACCCTCTCTTCAAAGTCGTCGTCACTGTCGTAGAGGTCTTCATGACGAAGCCTCCACTCGTACTCCACGTTCACATGATGGTCGAATTGGTTGGACTGGGCCTGCTGCAGCTGCAAGGACACAACGCGGTTCAGATTTATAATATAAAGAGTAACGCTCAACAGCCACATGTAGAGACATGCAGAGGAGCGACGCCTCACCAGCGCCTCACAGTGGCCGTGCTTCAACCTACGGCTCACGTCCAGAGCGGTCTCCCCTAACTCGTTTTCTGTACACACACAAACAAATAAAATGTTACTGAGAAGTTCTCTGTCATGACTATCAACAGGAAAACGTGTGTGTGTGCTTCTACATTTGTGAGGACCAGTTGAGAGTAGAGATATATTTTTAAGAAAGTTAGACTTACAATAAATCAATTCCCCAATTAACAAAATGATCCACACTTACCTAAAATATTGAATGTCTCAAAACATTTTTTAAATGTCCATGTTTTCTTAATATATCATCACTTTCTGTATCAGTTCTCACTTTGAAAACTTGTCCTCACTTTTCAATTTGTTTTCTGTTGGTCCTCACATGTACTGTGTACAAATATATATGTGTGTGTGTTTGTTTTCATTACTGGTGTGTGTGTTGGCCCTGGCTCTCAGCAGCAGCCTCACACAGTCACTCTTGTTGTGCAGACAGCTGTAGTGCAGCGCTGTGTTTCCTGCGGATGTCTGTGCGTCCACATTTGAGCTGAAGACAACAACAAAAACACACACACAGGTGGACACAGGTAAACATATGAACACACACTGAGAGGACACTACTCGAAATTGTCAGCAGAAATCACTGACCAGTTCTGAGCTAAGAAGTCCAGGATGTGCAGGGACGTCCTGTCAGCCAATAGGACGGCGAGATGGAGCGCTGTCTCCCCTCTCTCCTGTTGGCATGGAAACAAAATGCTGAGTTTATGTGGGTGTTGTGTGTTGGTTAGTTGAGTTTACCTGTGTGTTTACTGTTGTGTGTGTACCTGTATGTGTGCGTGCAGTGGCTGGCTCAGCTCGGTCCTCTGGGCGTACAGCTGGATCAGACTGTAGATGTCGCAGCTCTTGGTCGCCTCCTGCAGGCCAAACCGCTGCGCTGCATTCGAGCAGTGGTTCCGCCTCACAAAATAACCGTCCTGATACTTTGACAGGATGAAGTCTTTACGCTCTCCCCTGCACACACACAACATGAATATACAGGTCAACTTTATTAAAATGATGTAAATGGGTTTGTGTTTTTCACGAGGTGAAGCAGTTATCATTTCCACATAAGACATGCCTTTATCAAAATTAAAGCAAAAAGAAAATTGTTCAACCTGTTACGCCCCGAGCCTGTTTTTCAGGTCTCAGGCTCGAAAATGACATTCCCAGAACAAATGACCATCTTCCCTTCTAAAAGGGTTAAATTAATAATATTTTTTCTCAAAGCAAGGTTACACCTGTGAGTTGGATGTAGAAGTGTCAGAATCAATATAGATGTTTTATTTTAAAGTAAATTCAGATTGAACACAGTAAAAAAAGGTAAATTATTGTGTCCGTCCAAAAATAAAAAATTACTTGAATTTGAAAACCACCCTTGAATGATGGGATGGTAGACTAAAAGCTTTAGGAATCCAAACTACAACATATAATAAGTACCCTGTATCAAGATTGATGCAAAACAAGTTAAATATGACCTTTTTAGAGAGATTTAGCAACAAAAACCCACTTCTGGTCATTTGGGTGGATTTGACCTAATAATAATAATAATAATAATAATAATAATGCATTTTATTTATATAGCGCTTTTCACAACTCAAAGACGCTTTACAATATGAGGGAGGGTAGACAAACAAGAACAGGCAAACAAGTAAGTATAGTAAAATAAAAAAAATAAAAAGGCAGTCAAGAGGAAGTTGATTGAGAGGGGGGGGGGGCTTATGGGTAGACAGAGTTTAAAAGATGTGTTTTGAGGCGGGACTGAAAGACTGAGGAACTCAGAGTCACGGAGATCTTGGGGGAGGGAATTCCAGAGCCTAGGAGCTGCCACTGAGAAGGCTCTGTCCCCAAAGCTGCAGGGTGTGGATGTGGGAATGGATAGGAGTCCGGCTGCGGTGGATCTGAGGGACCGTGGGGGTTGATAAGGAGTGAGAAGGTTTGTGAGATAAGGAGGGGCCAGATGGTGGAGGGCTTTGTAGGTGAGGACCAGAATTTTGTAGTTGATGCGATGGGAGACAGGAAGCCAGTGGAGGTCTTTGAGGACTGGGGTGATGTGATGCCATGATTTGGTATGGGTGAGGACCTATCTCTGGCCCCCCTTGCTCGATTTTGCTGATTGACATCTCTTTCTATTCGATTCAGCCGCGTTTTTTCTGATTGACAGCTACGGTGAGACGATCTCCCGTAAAAGCTACGTAAAGGTACGTGTTGTGATGTCTGTGTTTGCTTCCCCTGTTGCGAGTTTGGATCACTCAGTGATGATATATATACCTAAATAATCTGTGGAACCTCAGCATTAATCGGATATCTTCTGTGCTAAAGTGTGTTAGCATTTTTCGCTCAGGGGTCATTTAGATGCTTCTTATGAGACTTGTGTTTGTGTTTTGGTAAAAATGGTTTGTATCGTCAGTTAGCTGAGATTATTCCCGTTAATCTAGTATAACACATTAATAGGTTCTTAAATATTAAGATGCCCTGAGACACAGTGTCGTTTTTTTAAGCTTTGGGGTTTAACAGGCTATGCTACACCTTATTAAAACTGTGACTATGATTGTAATTCATTCCCACTCATTCTCAGTGTGTGTGTGATGTGTGTCTTACATGTGGCTCTCCTGGGACGGCTTCATTGATGGACTCAGCAGGTTTGCCTCCAGTATTTCATTAAAACCAGAGTTACCAACATTCCTGGCCAACTGAAAGAAAGTGGAAATATATAATTGCATCACCACACTACAGAATACATTTAATAACATTAAAGCCTTGGTTCTGAGAAAACAATTGTTTGTGTTTGTAAATGTTCAGGGGATGCAATTGTTTTTTCTGGTTTGCTTTTTTGTTTGTCTTCCCTTTTTGGAAGTTTATATCTGGAAAAGTTGAATTTTATATTGTCGACAATATAAGACATTTATGAGGCATATAAATAACCCGAAGAAAACCAACGGTTAGATGTCAACTAGGACTTCCATGGCATTAATGAAGATATATACAATCATACAGGTTTAAATCATTTTGTGTGTGTTGTAACAGCTAAAGATGAAGGATTTACAAAATAATGAGGTTTGGTGTATGTCTAACTCAACACCTAACTTTAGGATGGATTATTGTTGGATTAGCTTGTTAACTAACAGCGTGGACGTACCAGAAGGTCTGAGGTCCCCAGACTGTCCAGACTCAGAGACTGGATCCTGGAGACGTGGACCCCCATCTCCCTGTGGATCCCCGAACACTCGATACAGGTCAGGATGCCCAGGTTGGTGGAGAGCCATCCAGGATCTACAGAGACAGGAGATTAGATGTTGTCGCCATTGTTAAATATATCATATAAGTTTCTCTGAAATATAATTAGCGTTGCATCTAACAATTATTTTCGCCATTGTAGAATCTACCATTTATTTATTTGATTAATTAAAGTGAAAAATGCAATTAGGAAAAGAAAGGAAACAATAAGAGAGTACAATAAAGTGAAGACCCTTTAAATAGTGCTACAGTGTTTATGTTATGCATGCTTAAAATATGGGAATTTATCTTTTTCAGTAGCTTTTACTGATTCATTATTATGTCTAGTCTCTATGTATTCCATTTATTTTATGTGTATCATGTGTGTTTCTACAGTATTTTCTAAAAATGGAAGCATTCCAACCCTGTTTTCATGCTCAGTATATTTATTTTAATCCTTTTTGCAAAGCATTTTGTGCTGCTATTCTTGAATGAAAAGTGTCATACAAATACGGTTTTACTATTATTGATTATTTTGGGGTTTCTTTAAACAGCTTACAAACAGGAAACAAAAACACAAACTTGTTTTGTAATGGTAATTAAACAAAGGGCTTATGCTTTACTCAATTGACAGGGCATGTTTCACTTTTGAAATGGTATTATACTGATACATTGATAGATAGATAACCTGGAGCTCCGCAGTCACAGCAGTTGTTGTTTCCGGGCATCCGCCGGATGTCTTCAGTGATGGCCCGGGTCAGATCCTCTATGCTGCTCTCCCCTCCTCCCCCCCCTTTAAAGCCCCCATCCAGGGCCGCACTCAGAGCCTCCTGCTTACTGTTACTGAGCACCGAGATCCAGCTGCACACACACAACACACAAAACTTTTTAACGATATTTATCATACAAACCGGATGAAGCCATGTATCAAACTTATCAAAAGCTTGTCAAAAAAAAAAGTATTTTATTTTTGACTCACGCCACACACTCAGCGTCCTCCTCTGCCATGAAATGGTAGGTCCGATTATCTGGAGGAAAAGGTTATATATTATGAAATCAAACACATAATTGTGTTATGTGCATGTACACCACAGCCAATAACAATTCTGGTTTCTGATAGTTCTGGAGTGATATAACTTCTTAAAACTGAACAATATAATCGGACATCTATAATGTACCTAGATGTAGGTTTCTAAAAAGGGCTTAGGGGAAACGTCCACCCCAAAATGTAAAACGTGCAGTTGTTGTCCCGGAACTGCAAGAATGCAACCTGTCGACATAAGAATGGTTGCAATCTAACATAAAATGTACAGAAAAATAAGCGTTGTCGTGATTTCGAGTCTTGGAGGCGGCCTGTAATAAATCACGGCAAAAGCAGCTTTAATACATCTGAAATAGCTTGATTCACATTATGGTGGATTATATTTATTATGTAGAAATGTATATTGTGTGTGTGTGTGTGTGTGTGTGTGTGTGTGTGTGTGTGTGTGTGTGTGTGTGTGTGTGTGTGTGTGTGTGTGTGTGTGTGTGTGTGTGGGTGGGTGTGGTGTGTGTGTGTGTGTGTGTGTGTGTGTGTGTGTGTGGTGTGTGTGTGTGTGTGTGTGTGTGTGTGTGTGTGTGTGTGTGTGTGTGTGTGTGTGGTGTGGTGTGTGTGTGTGTGTGTGTGTGTGTGTGTGTGTGTGTGTGTGTGTGTATGTGGGTGTGTGTGTGTCTTACGGGAGATGAGGTCAAAGCATTTCTTGTCCTCCACACTGGGTTTGACCTGACAGGTGAGCAGGTTTAGTCTGGTAGGAGGTTTATTGGGCTGAGAGAGAGAATGTGATCACTTTGATAACTAAGCTCAAGAGTTACAATGTATAATCACACAAACACACTTACACACAGACAAACTCACAGTGGCGTGTGCGATGGTCAGGTAACAGTTGTGAACTGAACATTTCCTCTTCTGCCACATCTTTCTCAAGCTGAAACACAAAGACACACAGGATTAGTCCTACCATTATTACTACTTATACTGATGGTCCGTGTATTGTGTGCCTCTTTGTTGTTTTTTTTAATGATTTTATTAAAATTAATGTATTTATAAATATGTATACATGTGCATTTTCCTGTAATAAATAAATGAGAAAAACGAACTATGACTTCCAATACTTTAGTATTGTTACAGCCTAAGTTTGAAGCTTGAATCATTTTAACATTTTATCCCTGATCTTTATTTGTATTTTATGGATTTATTAATAAACTTATTTACATTGTATTATTTTATTGTTCCGAGTACAAAAGTGTATTTATTGTGGTTTTCATTTTCATTTCATATGTATAGCATAGCTGGATGTGTGTTTGTATGAAGGGTGTGTTTTAATTACAAATGTTTACCCGTCACTCTTCTTGTAGAGGAATCCTGCCCTCTCTGTTCCGTACTGTTTGTCTCCGAGCAGCTGATGCATGCTGTACACCTGCTTAGGTAAAGAGTCCTACAAACACACACACACACACATATTAACCACCTGTTGAACATTATTATAGTGTTACCACATGTGTCTCAGACCTGCTCTGAGTTGACAGCCGGCCTCAGCTGATCTCTGAGGGTCACCAGCTGTTTCTTCTCCTCCTCCTGACTCTGCTTCACCTGCACACACACAACAGATCACCTGAGCCAAATTCATCTTAGTTTACCCTAAAAACCTTGATTTATGTACAGAAATAATCAAATCAAGCAGACATGATATTTGCATACTTTGACTCCAAATGATAAACTCAATATACGTTGTATACCGTGATAAGGACTCCATTCAACTCCTCCATGTACTGCTTCAACTTCTCAGTGGTGGAAACACACTCCTGCAGGAAGCTACAGTACACACACAGATCCAGAACAAACGGACATGTTTAGGACACGTACGTACGTGTGTGTGTGTGTGTGTGTGTGTGTGTGTGTGTGTGTGTGTGTGTGTGTTCTTACTTATTGTGGCTGTGGTAGTGTTTGATGAGGTTCTGCAGAAGGTCGACGCCTCTCTTCGTCTTTATCTCGTTGACCTTAATCAGATACTAACAGAGAGAGAGAGAGGAGTGTTTTTATTTGGCAGACCATTTTTAGAGTAGAAAAGTAAAAAGGATGAAAGGAGAAGGAGGAAGAAGTCAAGGATGAGAAGGAGTAGAAGAAGAAGAGAAAAGGGAGCAGAGATTATAGTAGAAAGACAAAAGGGTTGGGTAGATGAGAAGTAGGAAGAGGAAGAAGAAGAAGAATAAACAACAACAAAGCACAAGGAGGTGAAGGAGGAGGCGGGGTTAAAGATGGAAGCTGAGTCACTGACCTCACACATGCTCAGTTGGAAGGAGCGTCTCTCCTTCTCGAGCTCCTCTGCGATCTCTCCTCCGCTGACCTCGTTCCTCACCATCCCATACTGACGAGCCAGCTCCCTCTTCTCCTTCTCCACCTGCTTACTGCACACACACACACACACACACACACACACACACACACACACACACACACACACACACACACACACACACACACACACACACACACACACACACACACACACACACACACACACACACACACACACACACACACACACACACACACACACACACACACACACGGTTGGCAGATCCTAAATGTGCGACTAAGATAACCAGTAGTAATAGTAAGATACCATTACTATTCCCAGGAAAGTTAAACAAAAATGAACTCCTGTCCACTCCAAAATATTTGCCTCTTTGCTCACGTAGAACGAGTGGAACGTGAGGTGTGTCTGCTTTATTCATCCACTATTTACGTCTGTCTGTTTTTAAATAGGTCATTTTTGTAATAGAAATAGATCCTGACCCCAGAATTAGGATCCTTAACACAGGACTATCCACATCAAGACGCTTGATCGGGTTTCTCTAAACCTCGTAACAAACTTAACAAGGTTTCTGAAACCGTAGCAGTGATGTTAACTGTCTCAAAACTAAGAAAGCAGACTAACTAAGCATTTAAACCCTTTTGGTGTTCTTCATTTTGTTTTATCATCACTCACAATCTGCTCTCATAGTCCCTCCACGCTTTGTCAAAAGGTTTCTTCAGATCCTATAAAGAGACAGAAGAGGAGACAGGATGTTAGGTTCTCTTTTGAGAGGAGGCTGTAAACATTTCAGTTAGGAAGCACCATCCTGAGGCTATAAGAAGTCACAATTGTAAAAAACGAAACTGTGTTGAAAGGTTTTTTCAGTCAAGTGATATGTACATTAAAATGAAGTTCTCACCCCCTTCACCTCCCTCAGGTCTCCTTTAACCAGAGAGTCCAGGAAGAAGTTGATGTTGTGGAGCATGCTCTTTAACTGCACACCAAAACACAACAATACAATTAAAGTAACTTCCCCTGTCAACAAAAATAAAAACATGCTAGACAGACCTTGGTAATAAAAGGTAACTCCCGGCATGTTGTTAATTGAAAGGTAATATTGAGTGGTTAGGAGACAAACAACCACAACCAGTTCGATTTTAAACAGATGTTTCTCAATGGAGTGTTGAATGGACCAGGTAAAAACTCATTGACAAATTGGGATCAAAATGGTTTTGAATCAGATGTTTTTCCAATTGACGTTCGGAAAGGACCAGAGCCAAATACCTTTGAAGAGGGTCAAGGTTTCCAATTTGATTTTGAATGACTTTCCAAAGTTAAGTAATTAGGTGTTTGAATTGGTGGATTTTCCAGGGAAGTCTACATGGGACTGGAAGGACACAGCTGGTGTTCATGTGTAATCAGAGGTTATGCCAATAGAAATTGGAATGTAGCCATTAAGAGCCCATTGGCTTTAATAGTGGGCTTTAATGTAGTATTGAATAGACAATGAAGGATTAATCAAAGGGGGTTTCTCAAAAGAGTTAAGAATAGACTAGCTAAAAGACCACTGATCATTGATAAAAATGTCCAAATCAAATGTTTGAATCCAACTGTTAAACTATAATTGTTTTTAACAATAGGTATACCCAATATAGGATGGAAATTAGCAATTAAGAGTTTTTTAGTTAAAAAGGGCTGGTCCATGCCAGACTCCTTTGAGAAAACATCCAACTAAAACCTTCTGATTGGATCTTAAATTAGGAGCTCTTAAGCTCTTAAGAATTGTTTAGGGAAGGAATCTTTGTTTGTGAGTTTAACTTTGGGGGAAAAAACCCATTACCTGCTTTTTTGGTAATACCTCCTTTATCTAAAGGGAAAACATTGTGTTCTGACGATTATAATAATCGAGCAAGCCAAGCCTGGGTTTTTTAGCTTTAGATACTGTCTGGTAAATTGGATTCCTTCCTCTTTTGTTGGATAATGCAACAGGTATGTTGTTTTCTAAGTAAATTGTGTTTGGGCATACATTGAAATGCCCAGTAAGCGTAATCCTTTGTTGTGGGGGTTTAATTAGAAGCCAAATTGTGAGACTATCCTCTTCTAGCCAACCAAGCGTACCACAGAAGCTCCAGGACTACACTTGCTTCTTAGTTTAAAATGTAAGCTGATGTTAAACTGTATACCGTTTTATATCTTACCAGGTTCTTCATGGGAGAGAGGAGGTCTTTAGAGAAGTCGGCCAGACGGCAGAAAGCTGATCCGACCTCCGTCTCTCCGTTTGAGTGACAGTTCACCGACAGCTTCTCCATCGAGTTAATGTACTGCTCCAGGTGAGAGACATGGTCTGCAGAGAGAGGGTGTTAGTGCAGGAGGTAACAGGTGTGTGTGTGTGTGTGTGTGTGTGTGTGTGTGTGCGTGCGTGCGTGCGTGCGTGCGCGTGTGTTTGCGTGTGTGTGTGTGCTTGCATGCGTGTGTGTGTGTACCTTGTCCTGAGGCATATTTGGCTTTAGCAGCTTTCTTCATCTTCTGCAACACCAAGCGGTCACTGTCCAAAACCTGAACACACACACGTACATGAATATTTAACAGTTTCATACATTCATGTTTTAATCATCACTCTGGAAAATCTGCTGAATGTGTGTTTGTGTGTATGTGTGTATGGATGTGTTTATGTAGAAGCCCTAATTCACCTGCTGACTCAACACACACACACACATACACACACACACACACACACAGAGGAAAAGCTTTGTTCTCTGACACAGGCAGCTGCATTCCTGCGTTACACCGAGAGCTCTGTCTTTCTGCGTGAATCAGACTACACACACACCTTTTTCACAGGGGAGATTTTGCCTTGTCATGGTAGGAAAAAGCAAAGGACAAGTATTGCAGTAAGCCGTGACAGTGTGACAGTGAGACGATATTACATTTGATGCATGACCTGAAGCAGCTACATCGGATCTAGCAATCATTCGTTACAAATAAACAATCTGGATTGTTTTATGATGTTAACGTCATCTGTGCATCAATGAGATGATTTCATTTCATTTTAGGTATTTCATTCACAGGATTAGAAAGCTCTGTGTGGTTTATCCATAAACCGTTTTTAAAGGGATAGTTCACCCCGAAATGCAAACAAATGCATATTCTGTCCCACACACTCCCACGGGGATGTTAGCCTTTGCAGAACATTTAAATGCACAGAAACCTAGGCTATACAACACACTACAGGAATGGGAAAACACCAAAACCATAACAGGGCCTCTTTAGGAATATATCAAGGATCAAAGGACTTATTTCTCAATAAGATTTGAAAAAAACTTGTTCATGCATTTCTTTTCTCCCTAAAAATAAATCAATTAGACAGCTGCTGCTTGAGTCCATGCTAACACCAAGAATGTGGATCACATCACCCTGAGGACTTCACTGGCTTCCTCTCTGTGAAATAATTTATTTTAAAATACTGCTACCGGTTTACCAAGCACTGCAGGGCCGAAATAGATGTCAGATCTTCTGCTACATTACAAAGCACTCTCGTGTCTGCCTTCTGTCCCCAGTCAATACTAAATATAGCGTCAGTTTGTTATGCTCCATATATCTGGAAGAAGCTCAGGTCTGCTCCAACTCTCAATTTTTTTTATTCAAGGCTCGAGACTCTTTGTTTACTGCTGCCTTTTACTCCATCCATCCATCCATCTTCTCCCGCTTATCCGTGGTCGGGTCGCGGGGGTAGCAGTTCCAGCAGAGAGCCCCAAACTTTCTTTTCCCTGGCCATATCAACCAGCTCTGACTGGGGGATCCCAAGGCGCTCCCAGGCCAGCGAAGAGATATAATCCCTCCACCTGGTCCTAGGTCTACCCCTTGGTCTCTTCCCAGCTGGACGTGCCTGGAACACCTCCCTAGGGAGGCGCCCAGGTGGCATCTTAACTAGGTGCCCGAACCACCTCAACTGGCTCCTTTCGACGCGAAGGAGGAGCGGTTCAACTCCGAGTCCCTCCCGGATGACTGAACTTCTCACCTTATCCCTAAGGGAGACACCAGCCACCCTGCGGAGAAAACCCATCTCGGCCGCTTGTATCCGCGATCTCGTTCTTTCGGTCATGACCCATCCTTCATGACCATAGGTGAGGGTAGGAACAAAAATGGCCCGGAAGACAGAGAGCTTTGCCTTCTGGCTCAGCTCCCTTTTCGTCACAACGATGCGGTAAAGCGACTGCAGTACAGCTCCCGCTGCTCCGATTCTCCGGCCCATCTCACGCTCCATTGTTCCCTCACTCGAGAACAAGACCCCGAGATACTTGAACTCCTTCACTTGGGTTAAGGACTTATTCCCTACTTGGAGTGGACAGTCCATCGGTTTCCTGCTGAGAACCATGGCCTCAGATTTTGAGGTGCTGATTCTCATCCCAGCCGCTTCACTTGGTTGCGAACCGATCCAGTGAGTGCTGAAGGTCGCAGACTCCCTGGGAACTCGGTCATACGCCTTCTCCAAGTCTACAAAACACATGTAGACCAGATAAGCGTACTCCCAGGCCCCCTCCAGGATCCTTGCGAGAGTAAAAAGCTGATCCGTCGTTCCACGACCAGGATGGAATCTGCATTGTTCCTCCTCAATCTGAGGTTCGACAATCGGCCTGACCCTCCTTTCGAGTACCTTAGAGTAAACTTTCCCGGGGAGGCTGAGTGGTGTGATGCCTCACATCCTCTGATCCCCCTTTTTGAAAAGGGGAACCATCACCCCGGTCTGCCACTCCTTCGGTACTGTTTCCGACTTCCACGCAACGTTGATGAGACGTGTCAACCATGACAGTCCCTCAACACCCAGAGCCTTCAGCATTTCTGGGCGGATCTCATCCACCACCGGGGCTTTGCCACTGTGGAGTTGTTTGACAACCTCAGTGACCTCCCCCTGGGAGATTGGTGTTGATCCCCCGTCATACTCCAGCTCTGCCTCTAACATAGAGGGCGGAGTTGTCGGGTTCAGGAGTTCCTCAAAGTGTTCCTTCCGACGCCCTAACACTCCATCAGTTGAGGTCAACAACGTCCCATCCTTACTGTCCAGAACAACTTTGGTGCCGCCCGAAAGTCCTTTTCCATGTCTTCTCTCACACCCGCTGCTTTGCCTCGGCTATGGCTGAGGCTGCTGCCCTTCGGGCCTGTCGGTACCTTGCAACTGCCTCTGGAGTCCCCCGGGATAACAAATCCCTGAAGGCCTCCTTCTTCAGTCGGACGGCTTCCCTGACCACCGGTGTCCACCAGGAGGTTCGAGGGTTACCGCCCCTTGAGGCAACTAAGACCTTGAGACCACAGCTCCCCGCCGCGGCTTCGGCAATAGAGGCTTTGAACACCGACCAATCTGGTTCAATGTCCCCAACCTCCACAGGAATGCCCGAAAAGCTCCGCCGGAGGTGTGAGCTGAAGGCCTCCTGAACTTGGGCTTCCTCCAGACGTTCCCAGTTCACCCGAACTACACGTTTGGGCTTACCAGGTCTATCCAGAGGCTTCCCCCGCCACTTGACCCAACTCACCACCAGATGGTGATCAGTTGACAACTCCGCCCCTCTCTTTAAACATCCAAAACATATGGCCTCAGGTCCGATGATACGATAACGAGATCGATCATGGACCTTCTGCCTAGGGTGCTCTGGTACCACGTACACTTATGAGCATCCTTATGTTCGAACATGGTGTTTGTTATGGCCAATCCATGACTAGCACAGAAGTCCAGTAACAAACCACCACTCCGGTTCAGATCAGGGGGGCCGTTCCTCCCAATCACGCCCCTCCAAGTGTCTCCATCATTGCCCACATGTGCGTTGAAGTCTCCCAGCAAGATTAAAGAGTCCCCTTCAGGAGCCCCATACAGGACTCTTTCCAGGGTCTCCAAGAAGGCCGTATACTCCGAACTGCTGTTTGGTGCATAAGCACACACAACAGTCAGAGTTTCCCCCCCCTGTGAAGCTGACCGTTGAGCGGCCCAGACCAAGCAAGGAGGCAGAGGCAGAACGTCCAAAAATATAACCCGACGTGGGCATTTATTAAAATCCTGGGCACAAAGTTCACAGCCTCAATCTTGCTGTTCTCCTTCCACCCATCCTGCAGCCACAAAGATCTCAAAAACACTACCAGCCTCCCAACAGACAGGGAAACAGAGCCTAAATACACACACTAATCAGCACAACAAGACACAGGTGAGGGGGGGAGGAGACAACACAGGACACCAAGTGCACACAATTACCCGGCCTGAAGCAGTCAGTCCATAGTGACGAAGTTACCTTCGTCACATTTCCTTCCCCCTCTCCCCAGGAAGCACAGTGTCTTTTGCAACCTCCTTTTCGCTCCAATCCTTGGGTTTCTCCTCGGCTGGGACCCGTTTCTCTTCGTCACGACGGCGTTCCCGCTCCTCGATCTCCTGTTGACGAGCGCGCTGCTTTCGTTCCTGCTCCTCGAGTTTGCGCAGACGCTCCTGGTACTCCCGATCCTCCTCCTCTCGCTGCTCATGTTCAATGCGTTCAGCCCTCTCAAAGTAGTCAATCTTTTTCTCCTGGTTCTTCAGGCGCTCCTGGAGTTCCCTCTTCTCCTTCTCCAGCTGCTCCACCTGCTTGTCTCTCGTCTCCTGCTGCTTGTTTCTCGTCTCCTGCTGCCTCAACAGCCGTGGCCCCCTGGTCCGTTCCAGGCATAGCCACCCCCAGCCGCGGTTCCTCTCTTTGGTCCCTCTTCTTTCCTCTCAAAATGTTCACTTCCTTACTTGGTCAAATCCCACTTCTGACACCAATTGTGAAGCTGACCGTTGAGCGGCCCAGACCAAGCAAGGAGGCAGAGGCAGAACGTCCAAAAATATAACCCGACGTGGGCATTTATTAAAATCCTGGGCACAAAGTTCACAGCCTCAATCTTGCTGTTCTCCTTCCACCCATCCTGCAGCCACAAAGATCTCAAAAACACTACCAGCCTCCCAACAGACAGGGAAACAGAGCCTAAATACACACACTAATCAGCACAACAAGACACAGGTGAGGGGGGGAGGAGACAACACAGGACACCGGGTGCACACAATTACCTGGCCTGAAGCAGTCAGTCCATAGTGACGAAGTTACCTTCGTCACACCCCCATAACCCGCAGGCGTAGGGAGGCGACCCTCTCGTCCACTGGGGTAAACTCCAACAACGAAGCACCCAACCGGGGACTTGTGAGTATCCCCACACCCGCCCGGCGCCTCACACCTTGAGCAACTCCGGAAAAGAATAGAGTCCAACCCCTATCCAGAAGTAAGGTTCCAGATCCGACACTGTGCGTAGAGGCGAGCCCAACCAGATCCTAACTGGTAACGCTTCACCTCCCGCACAAGCTCCGGCTCCTTCCCCCCCAGAGAGGTGACGTTCCACGTCCCCAAAGCCAGCTTCTGTCGCCTGGGTCTGGTCCGTCGAGATCCTCTGCTTTCACTGCCACCCTTCTGGCAGCGCACCCGACCCCATCGCTGTTTCCCGTAGGTGACGGAGAAGCGGAGGTGTTGCCCACGTTGCCTTTTCGGGCTGTGCCCGGCTGGGCTCCGTGGCAAGCCTTTTACTCTATAAAAGTTATTCATTTCTTACAACGCACTGTAACTATTATTGTTGTGATTCGAATTTTGGAATCTTACTACACCATAAACATAAGCAAAGAATAACAATATTGTCTTGATATTTACAGAACAAGAGAAAAATCCTGCCAATCATATTCTCTTTTTATATTGTGCACTAATATTTGATATTTTAATATAAATTGTTGTCGATATACCAGTATATAACAACATACCTTTAGGCTCTTTAATGACTGCTCTTATTGTATTTGAATAAAGTCCTTTTGAATTGCCTTGATGCTGAAAAAAGCTACAGTATACAAATACATGTGCCATTCCCTTTTAGTGTAATTCTTCTTCTTTTTTAAAGCAAATTGTAATTCCCAACTTTCTATGCTCCCATGAATGCAGCATCAGCATGCGGGTTAGCAGATGATCTGATATCCTCATTAATAACCGTCTCTCTGGCTCCTCCTCATTACCATTAAATACAAAGACAATGAATACTAATGAGGGATAATCTGTTTCCGTGGTTACATATGCCAACACTGTTGGGGGTGAGAAAAAAAAGCGGGGAGGGGCAGTTGCAGGTTCTTCTTTTTCTTAGGGCAGTCGAGGATCAAAAGTCTTCGGGTCAATGACTCCACTGACCAATTGTGTGTGTGTGTGTGTGTGTGTGTGTGTGTGTGTGTGTGTGTGTGTGTGTGTGTGTGTGTGTGTGTGTGTGTGTGTGTGTGTGTGTGTGTGTGTGTGTGTGTGTGTGTGCGTGTGTGTGTGTGTGTGTGTGTGTGTGTGTGTGTGTGTGTGTGTGTGTGTGTGTGTGTGTGTGTGTGATCGGAAGAGCACCTTGCTCAAAACAATGGGTCTAATTTAATTGTAAAACTAATACAAATAGGAAATAATTCAACAACTATTTAAATGATGGATTAATTGTTGAACTATTCAGAAAAACAAGAAATCTGAGGAAGTGAGCGTGGACTCTGCAAGGCCGGATTAAAGTGAGAGGAGCCCCCCTGAGGCAAAACATTAGCCATGAACATGTCAACCATGAAACAGTTCTTACTGGCCAAACATTGACACAGCGACTCAAACCTGGACCAACTAACTTCTAGACCTGTGAGGATATTCATGAACTTTCTTTTATCATGCTTTTGTTTTCTGGATCAGATATTGTAGGAAATCAATTAAAATACAGTTAAAAGTATTAACGTTTGTTTTGGTCATTGCAGTTTGGGGATTTCCTTTAATTATGCAACTGTTTATTTCAGAGTTTTAGGTTATCTTTAAACATGTTGGTTGTTTGTTTTTTGGGACCTGTTATATTTTTGTTTTATATTCAAAAGAAGATGGAATTATGTACAGGAACTAAATATTTTTTGATAAAAAAATTAAAATAAGATAAATCTCAAATGTTACTAAAATCCAAATATTACATATAAAACATATAGCCTACGTACGAGTTCTCCTTTGCAGAAACTGTGTACAGTTAGCACATCTTCTTTTTGAAATACATTTTTTATTTTAAATGTTTCTTATATTGCGTTTAATAATTGTGTGTACTACTCATGACGCTACAAATTGACCGGCAGTGACAAAAACGTGACGTTTTGAAATTGAATTAAAAATATGAATTAATTAAAATGTTTTGTTTTGTGAGTATGCAAACTGTACATAAACAGAAATGTAATTGATGATAACAAATCAGCAGAATATTAACTACATTTTAAGAGATTTGAAAATGCAACAGTGCTGATTTGAATCTATAAATGTGTGCACATTTTGCACAAAGAAGAGGGGGCCCTCAGGTAACTTTTGCCCCAGGGCCCCCGAGCATTTAATCCCCCCCCCCCCTGTCAGTACTGACCTCCTCCAGCAGGTAGACGGTGTTCCTGCAGCTGATCATCTTGGAGGTGAAGGAGGAGGTGGTGGGGGAGCTCCAGTCCTCCTGGACCTCCTGCACGAAGTCTGACACCGACACGCACTCCGGCATGGTGCTGCTGAGCCCGGGACACACCGGGACCACCCGGGCCTCTCAAGTCCGGGACTGGCGGATCAATTCCACACAAAAGACCCGTGGAACCAGGAGAAAACCTGTTATTATAAATAATAAAATAATGTGAATTAAAAAACCCACTGTGCAAAGGCGAAATAATCTCATTAGTGATGTTCCCACAGTCCCGTGAAGAACGATTAGCATTAAGAAGCTGATGTAAAATCGGTAATTAAAGACCTGATCCGGTGCTTCCTTCCTCAGTGTGACTTCACCGCAGCGTCAGCCTCCTCTTCCTCCAGACAAAAGGTGATCAGATCCAGCAGCAAATAAACATTAACAGCAGATTCCGCAGAAAAGCGATGACATTAAAGACAGTCCCGGGTCATAAGAGTGTTAAACCCAACGATGTTTCCCCTGTAGAGCCGCTTTATCCAGGGATGAACCCATGAAACCCGCCCGGGTCTCTCGGTGTGTGAACCAGCTGACAAAGAGCGGAGCAGCTGAGAGGAGAACCGGAACCCTGTGCACCTTGACCGGGTTCAGAGGAGGGAATCAAACCGGTATCTTCTCTCCGCTCCTGTAACAGCTTTATGTCTTTTCATCATCAGCTGATTTCTTTTCCTGCTTTTTTTTTCTTCTTTATTCAAACCGCATGGAGAGGCGCGTTCACGTTGATCGACGGTGGCGGGGCTCTTTGCCGCGGGAGCGCGCAGTGCTGACCGAGCACAGAGGTAAACCCCATTACATCAGTGTGTTGTCAACTCATTCATTATTCATGTCAAACCTGCTGAAAAACACATTTCTACTATAATAGGAAAATCGAGGCTGTTATTGAAATGTGTCTTTTTATAAAAAATATATATATTTAACCAAAAAATAAAAATAACAAACAAATAAATAAAAATAGGATTCATTTGATAATATTTAAAATGTTATTTTTGAATAATTATTTAGTTTTTTGCTTTGAAAAAAACCATTTAATATTAATTTTATATATTAAAATTTAAAAAAAGTCTGCACTACAGCAGCATTTGTGAGGCTGAACTTGGACAGAGATTTTAGCTAAATGCTATGCCGATATTAATCAGGTTATGTCCACCTTCTTGCTTTATATATAAATATATTTCCAACAAATAATATATTGTTCCTATTTTTGAAGTTATGGATCATAACATGTTTATGTTGTTTACTTGTGTGATATTCTTTTAAACATAATGATAATTTTTTTATTCTGCTTCCCTGGAATTATGCAAATACAAAAACATTAATCTCGAACTTTACCATGTAACATTTGGATAAGGCAATAAACCAAAAGTAGAGCAGAGGATGATGAGAATGAAATGAGTTTTGCAGGTTTTTGGATGTCAATAAAAGGTATAGACACAATATGAAAAGTTACTTATCCTTTGTCACTAACATGGAAATCCTCTTTTGCATCTAAGTAAATTGAGCTATAATCTTATTTATTTATATGAATAGCTTTCCTTTTTCTCATCAAATGTGCAATACTAATGAATAAACTTACTTGCACTTCATACACACAATCATCTTCTTCATAAATGTATTTAATTCATGTCATGCCATCTTATATCCTATACTGTCATTTTATACTATTTATTTTACATCTAGGGGTCACACTTATGACAACTACTGCCTTGAGCTCTGCCCAATACATTTGAGTTGTATTTACCAACATTTGTTTAATACATAGAAATACTGAATGTTGTTTTTGAGACATTTCATCTAATTCCCCAAATGTAAACCTTATGGCACCCTTAGACAAAAGGTTAGAGGGTTTATCCTCTGGGGAACATGAATGTCTGTACAGAAATATAACGTAATCCATCCAAAAGTTGTTGAGGCATTTTGGTTTGGATGGGGGTCAATCGTCTGATATTATTCCCCTCTAGTCTCTGAGGCAATGACCCAGAGTTTGTTTCAGTGTTATCTGGCATCATCAGAGGAAACATTTAGAGCACTTTTCTATAAACAAACCCTTTCTAACTTCCTGTTCATTAGCCTGAAGACCATTTCTCTCAAAATGTATTTTATTAGGAGAAGTTAGTTTGTTGGCTCTGCTTCCATGAAATATCTTGATTTCTTGATATCAATTAAACATGTGATTTAACTAAGTGTTGTACGCAGGAGGTAAGTACCTAATATGAATATTAAAGAGAACTGCTCTTAAATTGAATTGTTCTTGAACCTAGCAAAAAATAAAACGCTTTTGAAAGGACGTCCCACTACAGAGAAGTGGAGGGACCTAGTGGACAAGTCAAATAAATGGTGCAATTTACATAGAAAATTAGGGGCATACGGACTTTCAATGTGGCAAATATTACATTTGTATCTGGTCAACAGGCTCAAGAGGGAGCACAGTTTGATTTTCTTTCTTTTTTGTGTGCTTTTTCTCTGTTGTCTAATAATTCTAATAATATTCAGCTAACGTTCATATTGAACAAACTGGTAGAGATTAGAATATGAAATTCAGTCTGAGTCAGTGCAAAGTTAAACAGAAAATATTCATTTTTATTAACTTATTTACCATCAATATATAAAATGTAATCAACAAAAATAGAGTTTTATACAAGATAATTATATTTATTTATTTTTGAGTGCACACTGTCTTCAATTTACATGATATACATATGTGTATTACAATTTGCAGTAATTTGTGTCTATATAAATGAGGATGCTGGGTAATGTAGTGCAGTCAGCGTAAACATAATAAATCATGAGTTTAACTAATCAGACTAAGTAGTGAATGCGATGTACAAGTAACATGTAATGTAGATCAGTCCAGGAAACCTGAGACAGTCTTCTTCATCCTTTGATGATGATGGAGGCGATCTGCTGCGGCAGCGTGTAGATGATGAGCCCGAGGAAGAGTGTGAGTATGGCGAGGATGACCAGGGTGATGATGAACTTCTTAAACTTCTTCCAGATGAGGAAGACAAAGGTCTTCATCGGGTTGACGAACCAGGTGAAGGTGGTCGAGGGACGACTGCAGGAGAGGACAGGAAACAGTTTAACAGTTTTATTATTATTATTAATGTGTATGTGTGTGTGTGTGTGTGTGTGTGTGTGTGTGCGTGCATGCATGTATGTGTGTGTGTGTGTGTGTGTGTGTGTGTGTGTGTGTGCGTGCGTGCATGCATGTATGTGTGTGTGTGTGTGTGTGTGTGTGTGTGTGTGTGTGTGTGTGTGTGTGTGTGTGTGTGTGTGTGTGTGTGTGTGTGTGTGTGTGTCTCATACTTTGGTTTGTCCAGAGGCTCTGGCTCTTTGCGGGCCCGTCCCACAGGGTTAGCCTCCGCCTGCTCCAATGTTACCAGCTGCAACTCTGCCTCCACCTTCCCCTAACACACACAAAAACTATTTTTATATATAAATTCAATAACATAAAAAAATATATATAAATTAGATTATGTGAGTGGAAAACCTGATCAAATCAAGAATTCTGATTCAAATCCGTACTGCTAATTTTAAGTGACTGCATCCTGCCTTTGTGGAATAGCATTAGCATTAGCATATTGTTGTTTTCTCGTACCATTAGCAGGAACGTGCTGCCGCTGCTGTCGGTGAACTGGATGTCCTCCTGTCTCATGGCACTCCTCTTGTCCTTCTTCTTCTTCTTTCCTTTTTTCTTGGCCTCCTCCTTCTCCTTCTCCTCCCTCCGAAGTCCTCGGCTGTCTCTGGCGGATCAGCGGCCACCAGCCCTTCATCTTCTTGGCGCGGAGATGGAGAATCGAGGGGCTGGCCCGATCCTTCGCCAACGCGATCGTACACTTAGTGGAGGACTTTGCCGCCCGCACCATGTCGTTCAGACGCAACTCTATGGAGCCTGAAGGAGAAAGGATGATGAGGATAAGTTGTAGTTTTTTAGAAGACATGGTTGTCATATCAAAATAATTAGCTCTGTAATGATATGGTGAAAATGTGTTTGAACCAACTTTCCCATGAACAATGGATGAAGAAAAACTCAAAGTCTATGTAAAGAAACGCACTGAAATGAATTAAAAGGGTGTCAGTCCCACCACAAAATAAAAAAATATTTAATGTATTTTCCATGTTTGAACTGAGATCTTTGTGTTGCTCACAGTGTTAGTTTTTGTTTACATTCATTTAACCTATCCTTCATTATAAGACATTCTAGACATTATAGTCTTTTCTGTTGGTGTTTCTCACCCAGAAAGTCATTGGCAGCGATGCGGTCGTTAGTCCCAGACCTGCAGCGTCAGAACGGCGGCTGTCGAAACTCTGACGCCTCCAGAGAGAAGAAGGACTCCTTCTTCTTAAACACCACCTCTTTCTGCCGGGTGAGAGGAGGAGATGTACTCATCATAACACCCAGATCAGTTTGTTTTTTCTTACAGGGACAACTTTGGAAATATGTCTTAAGTTTTGCTTGAAATTGCGAAGTATCAAACATCCTCTTCACTGAGTGGAATATGATCATAACATTTATTGGATATCTTGAACAAACATTGATATTTTGCGTGGACGACGGAAACATGACACTAAAGCTCTAAGATAAACTGGTAAATTCATTATTAAATAATCAAACCAAAGAGGAAACAAGTGTTTTTGTTTCAGCTTATTTAATGGTTTGTTTGTTTAATGCATTTCTCATTTTAAATCATTGTTAACCTAATGCCGTTGGGTTGTGGACTGTCCTGATAAAACAGCACATACGAAAACATGCCCTTGGATACTGTGAAATTATTATGGATGATTTCACAATTCTTTGACTTTAAATAGATAATGTATTTACGCCAGAGCAGGTTGTTATAATCATCAGATTCAGAAGAGAAGTCCTCCATCAGCAGGTGTCTCCAGGTGCATCATGTATATCATTTATTTTGTACCTCTGTAGGAAGGTAGTCGAAGCGAAAGACAAATCTCCAGTTGAAGTTTCCTTCTCCAGTCAGAGAGCTAAAGTGGACGTCAGTCTCCTGTTTTTCCCCGTCAAGTCCTTTTATCCAGCTGCACACACAACAGATCAGAATAAAGCACTGAGGGGGGAATTCACCAAGACTGTATTGCAAACGCTGATAGTACAATTCAAACCGCAATGTCCCAAGGTCTGATTCACAAAGCATATTGTGTGAGATGTATTACAGCGCAAAACACACCATACATTTTTTGCAGCTGAGTGCATTTTCCCTTTCTTTTGCTTGATAGCAATTATCCATGTGACAAACATAAAATGTTTCCTTTGTACAAAGAACACGGTACGCAGGACAATGGTAATTACATTATTGGAGTGCAAGCTAAATGTCCTGTCCACTGAGGTAGATAGACATTCTTCAAACGTAAGAAAATAATTAAATGTGAAGGAGAAAATTCATTTATAATATTAACAAATGAATATCCCAGTGTACACCTTTAGACTTTTAAAAACATGGCATGATTTAAAGCAGCACATATTATTATGCTAATGTTCAGGTTCATATTTGTATTTTTTGTGCCTCTACTGTGACATATTTCCATGATTTAATGTTCAAAAAGGTCTCCCTCTGGAGGGAACTCTAGGATTTTAGCCTTTGCAGACCATTTACATGCACAAAAACATATAAGACATTACAGTAATAGGGCCCCTTGAAAGCAGGAGGACCATAAAATATATATAATTCACTGCACCATTAATCAGTTCAAAGTCAGGGCATGAGAGCCATTTATA